GGTGGTTGCTGTGGGCCCTTTTGCCTTCCTCTACATTCCATTACTGAAGCCTGTTGCCTAAAAGTGGCCTCTACAGAAAATAGAGAACACATAGATTAAAGAAAAAAAAATGTTTAATGTTTATTTTTGAGAGAGAGAGAGAGCAGGGAAGGGGCAGAGAGAGAGGGAGACACAGAATCCCAAGCAGGCTCTGTGCTGTTGGCGCAGAGCCTGATGCGGGGCTTGATCCCATAAACTGTGAGATCATGACCTGAGCTGAAGTTGGGCGCTCAACTGACTGAGCCACCCAGGCGCCCCTAAAACACATAGATTCTAGCAGCAAGGATGCCCCCGCCCCCATGTAAAGAGAAGGTTGCAGAAGAGGATTGTGAGGACAGTGGGGGGGGAGGGGGCGGGTGGGAGGCAAGAGCTTTCTGGGGGCCTGGCTGCATAACTAATCTTGATGGGAGAGTCCTGGAACCCAGTGACAATAGGACAGAAAGAGCCTTCAAGAGGATGCCAGGGAGGTCAAGACAGAACTCTAGAATAAAGTATCTAGAACTAGACCATTTAGAGGGTAAATAATGGAGAATGGGAGAAGAAAGGATGGTGATAACAGTGCTTTTTAAAAATCCAGCCAATGGAAGGATTTCCTTCTCCACACACTCCCTGATTTGTGGGTGGTACCCAGACTCAAATCTGCCAGCAGCATCAGTAGTTAGTTCATAAACCCATCATTCCTCAGTTTTCTAAGATCGGTCTGATTTCTAACACTCAGTCCCATTGCTGAACACTGTACTGTTTGTGGTTAGAAAATCATGATCTCTGTGCCCATACAAGTGTCCTCTGCCATAGAGTGTGTAAAGCCCTGTATGGGCAAATTAATTAGGAATTCTTCTTCCTTGTCTCTTCCTGTGACCTTGCTTGTCATCTTGAGTTTCCTTTCTTGCTTAATAGCTTTGCAATCCATCTTATCACCTGAGCCAGAAACCTGAGAAAATTCTCTTATCTATTGCTGCATAACAAATTACCCCAAACTTAACAGCTTAAAAGAACAAACATTTATTATCTCACAGGGTTTCTGAGGGTTAAGATTCCAGGAGCAGCTTAATCGGGTGGTTCTGGCTCAGGATCTCTTACAAGGTTGCAGTCAGCTATCTGTCAGGGCCACAGGCATCTCAGCTGGACAATTCTCTTCCAAATTCATTTGCATGGTTATTGACAGACCTCAGGTCCTCCCTGACTGTACACCAGAGGTCTCTATATTCTAGCACATGGGCCCCTCCAGAGGCTGTGTGAGTACTGTTTTGACATGGCAGCTGGGTGCCCTCCAGAGCATGTGATAGGGAGGGAGGCAGGCGGGGGGGGTGGGAGGAAGGGAGGGACAGAGAGACACTGAGAGACCCTAAAATGAAAGTCACAGATTTTTAAATTCTCTAATCTCAGAAATGACATCTCTTCTGCCATATCCTATTGGTCACACAGACCAACCCTGCTACAGTGTGGGAGGGGACTCCATAAGGGTATGAATACCAGGAGGCAAGGGTTATTGGGGGCCACCTTGGAAGCAGCTATCTCTGAGCGGCTCCTTTCCTTCTTCTCCTTCAGCAGATCATTAAGTCCTTCTGATTCTTCCTCTACAGTGTTTTTCAGATATGACAGCATCTGAAATCTGTTTCTTCAGGGAAGAGGCATGGAGGCTGATGGAGGAAGCCTTGGGGACCACACACCTAAGGGCACAGGGGGAATATATAATACTGTGCTCCAGCCCAAACTTATAGGGAGAAGGAGAGCATACCTCTTGGCAAGCCAGTCTTTTGGGGAGGATTCATTCCCTGTGCAGGGAAGGGGAGACATGTAACACTAGAGTCACCCTACAGAAACCAGGTGCTGAGCACAATAGCAAGTGAGCACGGGTGCTTTCAGACTTGACCTAAGCACCTAGGATTTAAGACCATAATATGAGGTCAGCTCCCCCTTTGCATGGGGCAGAGAAAGTCTTTTTTTTTTTTTTTAATTTTTTTAATGTTTATTTTTGACAGATTGAGAGAGAGAGAGAGAGACAGAGCATGAGCAGGGGAGAGGCAGAGAGAGAGGGAGACACAGAATCTGAAACAGGCTCTAGGCTCTGAGCTGTCAGCACAGAGCCCGATGCGGGGCAGGAACTCACAGACCACAAGATCATGACCTGAGCCGAAGTCAGATACTCAGTCGACTGAGCCACCCAGGCGCCCCTTGGGCAGAGAAAGTCTTAGGAGATCTCCAGTCAAAGGTCTGTCACTTCCTTGTAAATGTCACAAATAGGTTTAACTCCACATGTCTACTTAGATTGGAAGTGGCTTCCTAGAGCTCTTGAACTGAGAAAAGTTGTGGGATCCATTCTGCTTCAGTGAGGAAGAAAGCCTTGATTCTCAATGTCTACCATTGTCAGAGGAAACGAGTTTATACCTGCCATTTGGCTGGTGGGAATACACCCCATTTCCACCGATGATACCTTTCTTCCTTGAGACCCTCCTATAAGATGGGCTTTGGGGGAAAAAGCAAAACAGTTAGTAGAGTTTTCAGAAGTAGGCATACCTTGAACCCCAACTCCGTGAGCTACTTGAGCTGCTACAGCACTGTCCCACCATGCACCCACCACTACCAGCCCCACCTGGGAGGAAGCTGGGAGAACCTCATTAGGTTCTTCAACAGTCTAAAGCTGGATGGTTAACCAAGATTAAGTCAACCGACTAAGGGTCCAAGGAGGCCAAGGTGGGAGTTCAGAACTCGTTGGTGGGAGATTCTGGGCCTTCTATGAAAATTTACCTTTGTTCTTAGATTTATAAACTTGGGACCAGAGTCATAAGTTTATGGCCCAGAATAGAGGTCGGCTCTGCCCTCCATCGCTGTTTGACATGGGACTCGGAGAGGTCAAGGGACTTTCTCACAGTCATTTGATAAGTTGGCCAGGACCACGGGCTCCATCATTTCTAATCTTTCCCTGCCCTGTGTTGGACGTGCGAGCACAGTGGCATGCACACTGCCTGGACAGAGAGGCTACAGCTGCCTGTTTGCTCTGACATCCAGTTTCTGCCCTCCTTGTGACCTCTGAACGACAAGGAACCTCATTTCCCAGGCTGCCTTGTCTTCTGCCTCCTACTAGGTTTGGCCCACGGTTTGGGGCACTGGTGGAAAATTTGAGAGCAGGAGTTGGTGAGAAACAAGGTATTTCTTCCTCCCTCCCTGCTTTCTTTGGCATCTCCAGTAGTGGCTGAGTCTCCCCTGGTCCCAGCACCCGTTGGACAGTCCCCACTGTGCCTCTGGCTTCTGCCACATGACCCCTTGAGCTGCAACCCAGTAATTCCCAGTAACACCAGCTCCCTCAGCCTGAGGACTCACTGCTGTTTACCCCTTCAGCTAATCCCCAGGTTGCCTCATTTTCCTCTGGCTTCTCAGCTCTTCTATTATTGGTATAGCCAGTTGCCTATGTTAAATTACTTATGTTTGGTAAGATCTAGACTGGTGTGTCCTTTCCTTACTGGGCCCTGAATGATGGAGTAGGACCATCATTCTGTGTGTTCCCTCACATTATAGGAACACAATAAATGTTGAGTCATAATCATGTTAATGAAAAAGGAAAACCAGTTTACCCAAGAGAGTTAGTGCTCTGCTCTATTCCTTTACTCTATAAATCAAGCTGATTAAAACTACATCATGTTGTGCTCACTTCGGCAGCACATATACTAAAATTGGAACGACACAGAGAAGATTAGCGTGGCCCCTGCGCAAGGATGACACGCAAATTCGTGAAGCATTCCATATTTTTGGGTAAGGGGCATCAAGGAATCTACCCCTGAAATCATTGTTTCACTATATGCTAACTAATTTGGATGCAAATTTTAAAAAGTAAAAACAAAACAAAACAAAACAAAAAAAACCCCTACATCATGTTTGTCATAATTCCTGAAAAGCAAAAAAGTGGAGACATTTTCTTAAGACATTTTCCTGACGGTCAGTTGTGTGCCTTCAACTCTGGTGTCAAAGGAATGGATTTCTTTGATCTCCTGGATCTTTTCCATCTCTGTCCTCTGATTTAATCATGGAAAGGATCGTTCTTGGTATGGGTGGGTTTGTAATTTTTAATTGTTGCAGAACGAGCCCTAACGTCATACTATTTGGTTTCCTCCACTCGCTTTGGTAATGACTCTACTTGGCCTTCCCATCACAAGCTTGGTTGTTGTGACCTACAGTCCTGTTTATATGCCAACCCCTGTTCTTGGCCTCCACACAAGGATTCCCACAAGGGTTCCATTTGAGATGGTGGTTTCCAACATTGGGGATATCTGCCCGCCAGCAACTGGATTTGAGACCACCAGCTTGTTTTTCCAAACATTAATATCTCAGTGATCTCTAAACATATTTTCTTTTCCAGAATGTTTTCCAAAAGGTTTGTAAGAATGTCTCTAAACCTTTTTGTTTTCTTCTGAAGGTATTAAGGGCCTAAGGGGAGGGGCATGGGTAATATAAATTTTAAATTGGCAGAATAGTGGGGCACCTGGGTGGCCCATTCGGTTAAGCGTCCCACTTGGTTTCAGCTCAGGTCATGATCTCACAGTTTGTGAGTTCGAGCCCCACGTAGGGCTCCCTGCTTGGGATTCTCTCTCTCTCTCACTCTCTCTGGCCCTTCTCTGTTTGTACTCTCTCTCTCTCAAAAATAGATATATAGATAAACTTAAAATAAATTGACAGAATGGTATTTAAAGCTATATCCAAAAATATATTCTTCCCTTAAAAAAAAACCAACAACAACAATTCTCTTTACATATTTAAGTAATTCATTTGGGAGAAGTTACTACCCAGCTATTCACATAGCCAGCCCTTGGCAGTTTTAGTTCAAAATGCTTTGAAACCAGTCAACTACAAAGCCTCAAATGTTTTCTCTTTAAAAGCTCAACTTAACCTTCACTATGGCGGTGGTGAGAAAAGTGACAACTCATTTAAAGATTCTCCCCTTTTGTTTCTTTGTCTTTCTTCTGCAGGCCATGTGTTTATACTATGGGATCTCCCATAAACAACAGGGCCCTTTTTCCCTGCCAGGAGCCACCCGTTGCCATGTCAACATGGCAAGCTACAGTTCGAGCAGCTGCATCTTTTGTTGTTTTAATGAGTGGGGAAAATTCTGCCAAGCCAACACAGCTTCGGGAAGGTACCGTACATGTGTTCTGTGCTTCTTTCTGTATTGCGCACATGCTGGACCCAGGGATCCAGTACGCGATGTTTTTCTCAACTTTAAAGAGCTCCTTGATTAGTTGGGTTGGAATGAACCTACTAAAAACATTTTGCCAGAGAAAACAGCAGGGGTTGGGGAGGGGCACTTGAGAGTCTGGACAAAGCATGCGGGGCTCTTCATGCCAGAGTTATCAATTCCTAGATTATTTTAGCAGTTGCTTTCACCTGGTGGTTTGTGGGCCATAAGCGGGTGGTCTCAGCTGAAGACTTTTGGGCAGGCAAATGTGTCACAGAAACACTGTTACAGTTGGGTTGTCTGGAGTTCAGTCGTGGAGCCTGTACCAGGTTTTTCATTGCACTGAGCCATCGAACTCCTGTTGGCTGACCCACCGGAGATGCCCTGCTAAGGCATCTGTTCTACACACTGTTTGCTGATTCGGTTCTGAACCAAAGGTGTGTAAGAAAGATGGAAGGCAAGTGCTAACGCATCAACGTTTTGTCTGCGAGTCACGTGCCTATTGCACTAGCTAACATTTTCAGTTAGGATCCAGAGTGTGTTGACGCCAGGTAAAACTTTTGTAATTATATTACATATTTTTTCTTCATTTAAAATATGGTGTCTCCTCCTATGTACTTATTATAGAAACTTTAACACTTATAGAAAAGCAGAAGTAATACAAAATAACTTTAGAGAAAGTGGTTGCTAACATTTTGCTGCATTTCCCCCCAGTGTTTGAAATCAGTATGTATAATACGTGTTATCATTTCAAAATTGTCGTCGTAGCACATAAGAGTTTTGTATTCCACTCTTTTCACTTGTACTGTATCTTGAATTTTTTTAGGCCACTAAGTATTTTTCAAAAATATGATTTTAATGTCTGCATAATAATTTTGTTGTATATATATCAGATTTTATTTAATGTTTCCACATTATCAGGCATTTTTATTATTTCCAGGGTGTTTTTCCTATTACGAATAAAGTTGCATTAAATTCCTGAGGAGATAGTGTGTATAAAATGAGATAGTGTGTATTGAGTCAAAAGTTTTGAACGTGTTTAAGGTTGTTGATACATATCTCAAGTTATTTTCCAGAAAGGTTGCACCAATTTCCATACCTGTCTAGCTCTGAGGTTAACCTGGAGCTTCACCTGTCTGACAGGCAAGAGAAAGTCTCTCTTTAATTGGATCGCTTCGATTATCAGTGAGGTTGCACCTGTCCTTGTAGGTTTCTTAATCATTTTCATTAACTATTCACTTCCTTTGCCCATTTTTATTCTAATAAATAAGCCTTAGTGAAGCTTTTCGAAAGTTTGTTTCACCTTTTAATTTGATTGGGACTTTAAAAAATAAAGATACTAGAGCCTTCAAGTTGGTAAACGTGAAGATGCAGGGAGAGGCATGGATGTTTCATGCATCTTCCCACGTCTCTTCTCATATGTGTCTCTTCCATCTAGCTGTTCCTGAGTTGTCTACTCTTCATCAAACGTAGCAGAGGGTTTCTTTGGCTCTTTGTTTCCTTATGGGGCTCCCTCATCACATAAAACTTATATTAAACAAATCTGTAAGCTCATCTCCTATATAAAAGAATAAAATAAAATAAAATTATTAATCACTTATGATATTTGTGGAAAGTATTTTTCCCAGTTTATAATATGCCTTTTAATTTCATATAATGTTTTTGACCTAGAGGAGATTTTAATTTTTATGTAGTCAAATCTGTCAAGTTTCTCTTAGAAAGTCTTTTGTTGCTCTGAGATTCATCTGCTTTGTTCTAATATTTTTACTTAAATTTTAGTTTAATTTTTGTAATTTAATCTGTTGGCAGTTTATTCTGGTCAGCTGTATGAAATGAGAACTAAACTTTTTTTTTCCCGAATAGGAAACCAGTTGCTCCAAGATCATTTATTAGATTTTGCTGACTTGTAGTATCTCCTTTTTTAAAACAAAAAAATTATCTTTATTTTTGAGAGGGAGAGAGAGAGAGAGAGAGAGAGAGAGAGAGAAACTGAGAGGGAGAGTGGGGGAGGAGCAGAGAGACAGACAGACAGACAGACAGACATAGAATCTGAAGCAGGCTCCAAGCTCTGAACTGTCAGCACAAAGCCCCACGTGGGGCTCAAACTCAGGACCCATGAGATCATGACCTGAGCCAAAGTTGGATGCTCAACGGACTGAGCCACTCAGGCTCACCCCTCTCCTTTTTTTAAATTAAGTTTTTTATTTTAACTCCAGTATAGTTAACATACAGTGTTACATTGGTTTCAGGTGTAAAATCTAGCGATTCAATAATTCTGTGCAGTACTCAGTGCTCATCATGACAAGTGTTATCTTTTGATTTGTGAGATGTCCTGTGTCAGAAACTAGTTTTATGCATGTACTGGAGGGTTCAGTGACTGTTTACTTGATTCCCAAGGTCAAAGCCAAACAAAACAAGCAATATATTTAAAAATTTTATTTTTGAGGCAACTGGGTGGTTCAGTCGGTTGAGCATCTGACTTTGGCTCAGGTCACAATCTCACAGTTTGTGAGTTCAAGCCCCGCGTTGGGCTCTGTACAGAGAGCACAGAGCCCACTTCTGATCCTCTGTCCCCCTCTTTCTCTGCCCCCTCCCAGCTCACGTTCTCTCTCTCTCAAAAATAATAATAAAAATAATTATAATTTTAATTTTAAAAAATAGTAAGTAAATTTTTACTTTTAAAAATTGGTCACATTTACGTGGCTCATTTGGAAATGAACAAAGGACCGGGGTGCCTGGGTGGCTCCTTTGGTTAAGTGTCCTACTTCGGCTCAGGTTAGGATCTCACAGTTTGTGAGTTTGAGCCCCACATCAGGCTCTGTGCTGACAGTTCAGAGCCTGGAGCCTGCTTCAGATTCCAGGTCTCCTCCTCTCTCTGCCCCTCCCCCACTCACACTCTGTTGCTCTCTCTCTCTCTCTCTCAAAAATAAATGTTAAAAAAATTAGAAAATTTTTTAAACAAATGAACAAAGGACAAGAAAATTGCAGTAAAGTTACCTTTTTTGCTCCTAATTTCCACCTACCCAGTAATTGTCCCCCAAGGCAATCAAGGTGACCAATTTTCTTTGTGGATGGTATAGTTTCTCCTTTTTTGTTGCACAAATCATAACATGCTATACACCTTTTTGTATTATGCTTCCTCCTCTAGAATAAATGTGTCTTATAGCTAATCTTACATCTGAACATAATAAAGAACTTCCTCATTATTTTTATGACTACAGAGTATTCTGTAAATGGATGTTTCACAATTTAGTTAACTGATAGCTCTTGACTTCACTCTTTATCAAATAATAAATTTAATGAGCATTTACTTCTCTCCTCTTCCCTCACCACATTCCCCAGTTTTAATTAATACAGTTTGTGGTTTGGGACTGATATTATCTTTATATTTTGTTTTTGTATTATACCTCGTTCATTTAAGCCTTGTTCATGAGGTGTGACAAATATATATCTCTGTGTAATTAATCAGCCCCCCTATGAAGATGTAGACTCTTTCTGTTCCCCTGGAAATTCCCCATGCCTTTGCCATCTCTCCTTAAGTCATTTCTCCCCAGCCACACACCAGTCTCCCACTGCTCTGATTTCCATATCTCTGCCTCTCCTGTGGATTCACATAAATGGACTTATTCTTTCATGTTGGGCTGCTTTTGCTCTGCATGTTTGTGAGTTGCATCCATATTGTTGTTGGTGTCAATAGTTTCCTTTTTTATTATTTTTTTTATTAAATTTTTTTTTAATCTTTATTTTTGAGAGAGAGACAGAGCGCAAGCAGGGGAGGAGCAGAGAGAGAGGGAGACACAGAATCCAAAGCAGGCTCCAGGCCCTGAGCTGTCAGCACAGAGCCTGACACGGGGCTTGAACTCACGAACCGTGAGATCATGACCTGAGCTGAAGTCTGACGCTCAACTGACTGAGCCACCCAGGCGCCCCAATAGTTTACTCTTTTAAGGAAATTGGTCGGGGGGGGGGGGCCTTGGCTGGCTCAGTCGGTGGAGCATATCTCTAATCTCAAGGTTGTGAGTTTGAGCCCCATGTCGGGGGTAGACTTTGCTTGGAACATTTTTGTTTTTTTAAATAAGATAATTGCTGAGTAGTCACCCATTATATGAACGAACTGCAGGGGTTTTTGTTTGTTTTTTGTTTTATCTGCCCACCTGGTGAGGGACATTTGAATTGATTTTGACCATCACAGAGCATATGCTGTGGACATTCAATTATAAGTCTTTTTGCAGATATAGATATCTGCAAAAAATATATCTACTCAGATATATTTCTGAGTAATCGTGGAGTGGAATTGTGGGATCATATATGTATATTTTAACTCTGTAAGTATCTGCCAGACTAGTTCCAAAGTGATGGAGTCATTTTCTGTTCCACCAGCAGAACACGTGGTGTTGTCAGTCCTTTTAATTTTAGCCCTCCAGCTGGTGGTAAAAAACTTCTCCTTGTGGCTTTAATTCACATTTCTCTGACGGCTAATGATGGTGAGCAACTTTTCATGTGCTTTTTGTACATTCCTATATCTTCCTTTAAAAAAACATCTCTTCAACTCACTCATTTATTAAATGTGGGTTTTTGGTTGTTTTTATTATTAGATTGTAACAATACTTTATATACTCTAGATATAAGCCTTCTGTCCGATATATGTATTGCAAATACACTCTTCCAGTCTGTATGGCTTGCCTTTTCATTTTTTACTAGTAGTCTATAATATAACACTGATTTTCCTTAGAGACGTTTTGTTCTGTAGTAATTCCATTACAGATTAAGTTGTTTCTGTAACAGTTTCTTGCAATCCTTCCTCATCTTTTTTATCTCATTACTTTGTTGTCTTTTGATCTCACTATGTTACACTGTCTCAGCCTGTTGCCTTCACGTGGTTTTTTACTATTTTTTTAATAGAAGTTATATCTTGTATCATAATTGGAATGCCAGTTTGCTGAACTTGTTTGGGGTCTAGT